CCTGCTTTTAGACAAAATCAAACGTATCGAAGTCTAAATCTCTCACCTCCATCACTTTTATCTACAACTTTGTGAGCACTGGCTTGTTTTTGAGGTCTAACTTAACTCTGGTTTTAGCGTGACAGAATTATTCTCCTGATTGGAAGGCAGAAGAAGGATGAGGTTTCCTTATGCTCTGTAGTTATGATGGACTGATTAAGAAACCAGAACGATTCTTCAGATTCCCTTTAAACTACAGCCTGTAGTCGTCGCTTGTTTGATTGCAACCCTGCAGAACTGCAAGCTGGAATAAATTTTTGATAATCCCCGATCCAGAGTGTGCAGACAGACTTTTTCTTTTTAAATCCCAACAGCAGAGCAAACAGAATCGGAGATGCCCTAGTTTTCACAGGCTGGAATCCTGCAGACGGAATCGTATTTGCTGCCAGATTAACAGAATAGAAAAGCTACAAATAAAAACAACATTGGAAAAACCTTCGATGACTTCAGGATCTCAATCGTTTTAAAAGAGGAATTTCTGATCCTGCATCGTTATTATGAGACGGATTCTCAGCCTCTTCCTTTTTTCTCACATTATCCTCCATCTGTGTGTGTGTGTGTGTGCAGGTGTGTGTGTGTGTGTGTGTGTGTGTGTGTGTGCAGGTGTGTGTGTGTGTGTGTGTGTGTGTGTGTGTGTGTGTGTGTGTGTGTGTGTGTGTGTGTGTGTGTGTGTGTGTGGCCTGTAATGAACATGTCTTTGTTGGCCCCTGAAGGCAGCCATCACTAACACACACACACATCGTAAGCAGTTACACTCATTAGTATTCTGTCTGGACTTATTTTCTTTCCCACTGACATTTACATTTAAATTGTTTATCTGCCTGTGTGTGTGTGTGTGTGTGTGTGTGTGTGTGTGTGTGTGTGTGTGTGTGTGTGTGTGTGTGTGTGTGTATGTGTGGGCACGCACGTATGTGTGTGCATGCAAATGTGTGTGTGTATGTGTGTGTAGTGTGTGTGTGTGTGTGTGTGTGTGTGTGTGTGTGTGTGTGGTGTGCGGGCATGCATGTGTGCGTGCATGCATGTAAGTATGTGTGTGTGTGTGTGTAGTGTGCGGGCATGTAACTATGTAAGCATGTGTGTGTGTGTGTGTGTGGTGTGCGGGCATGCATGTGTGTGTGCATGCATGTAAGTATGTGTGTGTGTGTGTGTGTGTGTGTGTGTGTGTGTGTGTGTGTATGCATGTAAGTATGTGTGTGTGTGTGTGTGTGTGTGAGAGAGAGTGTGTGTGTGTGCATGCGTATGTGTGCGTGTGTGTGTGCATGCATGTAAGTGTGTGTGTGTGTGTGTGTGTGTGTGCGTGCGTGCGTGCATGTGTGTGTGTGTGTGTGACACAGACGACTGCAGATACAAAGCAGCAGAAAACACACCACTCATCTGGTCTCCTGCAGAGCCGTGCGTGAACATGCAGCACACGTGTGCTCAGATGGAAGCGGCTCTCAGCTATTCTCCGCGTTAACGTGACAAAGTTGGGTAACTAAGTGGTTTACAGTCAGATAAAAGCTTCTGAGTTAAGAAAACTTTCTGTTTCTTGCATTTAAACATTTTATTTCATTTGAGCTCCTTAGCACAGGTTCCAGTACCGCTCCATCTTTTTTCTGTTCTGCACTCAGAGATTTATCACACTCAATCTGTTCTGCAAGCATTTCTGCTTTTGCTGAGCAGCCCTTGTTTATTTGACCCGCGTGACGTCACAGACCTGCTGCTGCATATGGGAGCTGTTCTTTTCCGCCGTTTAATTTGCAGCTTGTCCCTCAACTGCAGTTTTTGTATCTCAGAATTGAAACTCCGGTCGTCTTAGCAGCTGCAGAGGTCGAAAATCAGCAGCTCATTTCTGGCCTGAATAAATTTGCTTATTTTTTCTTTTCGTTTTGAAATGCGTGTATTTCAGAGAATATCAGAGAATAATAGCAGCGTCAAAACACATAAAAGAGTAATTCCTGTATTTTACATTTAAATTAAGATGAAGCCCAGATAGCAGAAGAGTCTGTGGTAAACATGCTTTCTTTTCCCAGGGCTGGTTGTGTAGTATGTGGTTGTGCGCCTGAGCACTGAGCAGTCAGCAGGTTACCTGCAGCAGACAGAGGTCAGTGCGATCGAAGTTTGGAAAATTAGGAAGAAAAATCAGACAGAACATCTGCCATTTTGGCTGATTTGGTTGACCCAGAAAAATGACCAAATGTGTGTGTTCTATACAAACTCCGGGCTGAAGCATGACTGTGTCTGCTCAAGCATCGGGCTCTCACAACCCAGAACCTCCTGGCTGGATGTATAGGAGCGTTGCAAAAAGAATGCAGCTTTGAAAATGACGTTTTTTTAAATACATATTTAATGCAAGCTGGAAACCAAACAAAAACTCAACCTAACACACAAGAAAACTGGAGTTTGAGGATATGTGTGTATTTTCTTTCCCAGATGCAAATCTGAAGACATGAAGCTGTTTTAAAAGAACAACTGAGATCTACAATAAAAACACACTCTGTTAGTAGAATTTAAGCTTCCCGTGTGTGTGTGGTGTGTGTGTGTGTGTGTGTGTGTGTGTGTGTGTGTGTGTGTGTGTGTGTGTGTGTGTGTGTGTGTGTGTGTGTGTGTGTGTCTAACGAGCTTGCCTCCCAGTCTCTTTCCCAGAACCCTGAATCCTGTCACAATAATAAGGTTGATCACAGAACAGGCCTTTATCCATGGTGGCATCTGTGACACACACACACACACACACGCACACACACACACACACACACACACACTATTAGTGCTGCTCTATTTCAGCTCAGGCCCACATGTGTGTGAAGGCAGCCAGGACCAGCCAATCAGGGCTCTGCACACTCTGGTTTATCCCTGTGGCCTTTCATCACTTTTTAATATTCCTCTGTGACAATAAAGATGGCAGAAGAGACTGATAAAATATACAAGATAAGATACGGAAACATTTAACACATCAGCACTGAAGTTTTTATTCACTACAACAACTTCAGCTGAATGAATTTCCATCCTTAGAGGTTCACGCCAACCTTTAGGTTTCTGCACAGTTGAATCCACGTGTCATCAGAATCAGATCCCAGACCAGATACTGGACAAGCTGATCGGGTCAGATTAGGATTATAGCTGAGAGAGGATTATCCAAGCTTGGAGCTAGTTTTGATTAACATGTTTTTGATGTTTTTATTTTAAAGAGAAGGATTCGAACCACAGCATGGTGCTAAAAGATTCAGTGATGTTGCTGATTTTTATCATGAGAAGGTAAGGATGGTTCACGGCAACCACAGCATCCAGCCTTCTGCAGAAATGGTTTTTAAATTAAGTTGCCGATCAAACCTGATTGATGCACTACGCTAGTGAAGGTCAGAGCATCACCGTTTGGACATTGAACGTGGTCTTCAGTAGTGTTTTCTGTGTAGAGTAAAACTCTCACACTCCTGTTTAAGGGGGTACATGTTTGTTGGAGGAGAGGGTCGGTGGAAAAGGACAGCGTTACAAGTCTTACTCATTTATATACATGATAAGCAAATGTCTCACCTCCGATAGCTGAATGCTGCATTAGCTTAAGTTAGTCAGGTAAACAGAAGACGTGGTCTCTTAAGGCTTAAAGGGGACATTTTTTGTCACGTTAAAACAAGCTGAACCGTTTTATGGTCGATACAAAACATGTGCATTCATTTATTTGCACCAAACCCCTCTAATATAAAGCATTCTCACT